GGATTGATGATTGCAGTGCACGGGGAGCCTCCTCGGACCTGACAGGCTCCTGGACCCGGGCTCTGGAGCTGAGCTATAGCCGATTGCTGGGCTTGCAGCATGTCAAAAATCATTTTAAGGTTGATAGTCTCTTCGCCGACTGCCTGGGCCCTCGAATCGTCCTCTCCCTGGACGCTATGCGATGATCCGGAGGCCTGATCAGTGTTGAGCGCCATCCGGGAACCGGCATCTATCGGGTTTTCGAGCCCGGGCATTCCATTGTTTCCTGTCTGCTGTTCAAGTTCGTTGTTAATTGATTGTGCCATTCTATGAGTTGGTAATTTGAATGTAAGATGGACTCTTTTGCAAAGAACCAGTGTATTGTGATGCGTCAAGAAAGAGTATCAAAGAGCTCACCAATATCCTTAGCCCCACGGTGGGCGCCAAACTGTTTACCCTCGAATCCGGATAACAATTGAATTTATATGGGGTTTTAAGGATACCGTGAACTAAAAGATACAAGAGGTTTTTAGGTTAAGGAAAATAAAGATAAAGACTCAACAATTGCTGTTAAAGTAAATAATCGCAGAATATAATATTGCTTAGAACCATTGTGCTTGATGATCCACAAGAATTTAGAGAGATCCCCTTTTATACATTCTGATTAAGGGTAAAAATAAGGTAGGTAAATTGATTACATCGTGGATCCCTGTAATTACGCCTTAATGGCCTGAAGTGGTTGAGAAAATCACGTTTGGGCGAGATATCCGGCGACGCTTGGTTATCCGTTACGAGTCCGGCTTCCGACCTTGTGTGTTTCTCCATCCGGTGGTGACTCCTATCGAGCTCTGTAACGGTCTCGAAATGACTCGACCTCGGTTGTAGACGTGGCCGTCGTTCTACCTTGCATCCAGGTCGGGTTCGATGGCCCCGATTTGCTCCGGACCGGACCCAACCCGGTCGGGCTCAAGCAAAAAAGGGTATCACCTACTACACTTTGTCTTAGAAATCAGCCCAGTAATGGATTTCTTTGCAAAGTCCTTTAACGGTATGCGATAATTAACTCATCCTCAAGCAAAAGTCATGCACATATTTAAGCTATGAAGAAGCAATGACTACACGTTCCTTTTGAGGAGCTTGATGGGTGCTGATTGCTGAAGAAAATAAATGGTGACATGATTAAGCTTCTTTTGGTGCTAAAGAGAATGTAATGGCCATATTATCTGAAATATATAGATCCTGGATTAGAAGAGCTGATATAGCAGCTGCTGCAAAGATAGATCGAGGATTGTTGCTACATTGTTCTTGTTTTGAAGGAAAGGTATCACTAAACGAGAGTAAGATTCATAACATTGTCGGCAGATTTCCTCAAATTTTCCTTAAACTAACACATCTCACAACTAGTCACAAGTCACGATAGTCTAACAAGGTTTCATTCAACTGGATTAACATGATCCTTTATACTTGCTAGATTAGCTACGCCCAATCCTGATTACCACCTTATATGTGCTACTTTTGAGTCTTGAAGCAAGCAATCCTTTACTATAGTAATGCTGCAGAAATATTATACATGGATGTGATAATTACCTAATTCATGTACAAGTCTCATCGGACTACTCTGCAATTTTGAGTTCAGGAATAAGCTGATTTCAGATAAACCAAGTAAAATTTGCTTCTTGAGCTTCTGTTCTCTGCATATTATGCAGACAGCAGAAAGAAGATGTTGATGTAATACATAATCATGAAGTGAAAGGTCACAAATTTGTAATCTTATTTCTGTCTGAGCCGAATTTTGTACATGTTAATTGCCTCCTCGATTAAACTATCGAGCCTTCCGACCAGCTAATTAGGCTTGCTATGACTTTTATTTTAAACATATCAACAAAATGAGACCTTTCTCGTGGCCCTATTCAGAAAGGGGTTTAACCTTGTTATCCTTTCTAATTTGGTTTCCATGGAACTGGTCTTTCTTGTCTGATTAATACCCTCTAATTATGTAAGCTCCTTTCAACTCCAGTATACCTTAAATAAATTTAGACGTTATTTCTAGATGTTTGGAGCACTAATATTAAAATTCAGATATTGGTGTGAGCATATGAATTGATAAGACACGTACATGTTCGGACATTCTTTGTGAATACTGCAGTAACTTCATCTTGTGCAGTGGTCCTTTGTCTGCCTCTGCTTGATGATTGATGAACGGAAATTGGTTATCTGCAGACTACTCATCTCTTCATTGATCTTATATCTTAACTTTAATCTCTTATCGGTTAACCACCTAAAAGATCTGGATCATTGTTTCATATTGTGATTTGCAAAATAAATGGTGGTTTGTCTTTTGATTGTTGATGATCTAACTTTACTTGAAATGATACCATGTATTCATCCAGGTAATTGCAGTCGCAGTTAGTCCCTTGATCACCTAACTTCAGTTTATGAACAGACGGAAATGGCATCTTTAGTCCACCTGCCATCTGCAACATCAGCAGTGACTTCGCGACATGCACGTCATAAACAGCTGCAATTGTTGAAAATCCAAAGAGTGCCAAATGGAATGACCTTTCCTTGTAATAGCCGTAAGTCGTTCACTATTTGCTGTTCAAATCAGTCTCCATGGGAACCTGCACCTGTCACCTATGTTCCTAGTGATAATATTGAAGATAAATTTTTGGAAGGGACAACCAATATATTTGAAACCATGTCGTCCAGCAAACCAGCTGAATCTTCATTAACTGAGGCTGAAGGCCTCACTGATGTAAAGAATCAGCCACCTTTGCAGCTCCAATACCTCCAATGGCCTGTGTGGGTTCTTGGCCCTGCCTTTCTCTTAGCCACTGGGATGGTGCCAACTTTGTGGCTGCCTATTTCATCAGTTTTCATTGGTCCCAACATAGCCAGCCTTCTTTCCTTGACTGGACTTGATTGTATTTACAATCTTGGAGCAAACCTATTTCTCCTGTTAGCCGATTCTTGTGCTCGATCACCAGACACCAGTGAAGGTTCCAGCAGCAAGCCGCCTTTTAGTTATCAGTTATGGAACATGGTCGCAAACATTATGGGTTTAGTCATTCCCTTGACAGTACTTTTTGGTTCTCATAACAGTTTCCTTCAGCCTCAACTTCCTTTCATTTCTTATGCTGTGCTCTTGGGTCCCTATCTCTTGCTTCTATGCATACAGATACTCACAGAGATGCTGACGTGGCATTGGAAGTCACCAGTATGGTTGGTGACACCGGTAGTTTATGAAGCTTATCGTGTGTTGCAATTGATGAGGGGGTTAAAGCTCAGTGCAGAACTCGCTGCACCATCATGGATGCTGCATACAATTCGGGGGCTAGTCTGCTGGTGGGTACTCATTCTTGGCATGCAGCTCATGAGAGTCGCTTGGTATGCTGGTTTCACTGCTCGGGCTCATCAGAAACAGATGCATGCCCTTCCCGATGTTGGTTAGGTCCAAATGATGCAACTTTCCTTTTTTGGTTTACAGAACGAAAAGGTGGTTGTATATGGAATTGAATTATAGGCTCCCCCCCCCCCCCACCACCACCACACACACCATTTCTTCCCGTTTCTTGTTACCGTTGTGCCTAAGGAGTTGGCCTTGAGAGTAACTACTAAGATGTATGTTACCAGAAAACGAACCAAAAAACGTATACATCCTGATATTTGTTTAGTTAAATATGCTTGCAGTTTCTCTCTAAAATATATCTCTCAGTGCATCATATTGTTTGACTGTTACATGAACTGTGGAAGGAACAATTCAGGTAGAAAGGTTCTTGCTATAATTTTAACTTATGTTATGAAGACGTGTCCTACCTCTCTACCTTCACAAGGTAGGGGTAAGGTCTGCGTACAAGCTATTCTCTCCAAATTCTACTTGTGGAATTTTACTGGGTTTTTTTTGTTGTTGTTATGAAGACGCCTTTCCTCTCCCCCCCCCCGCCCCCACCCACCTA